AAAAGAATAAGAATAAAAATAAGAATAATAATGAGTCCATTTGATCTAGCTCTCGAGATTGTTTACATACACTCTGTGCTGAGCAGACTTGACGAGCGATGAGGTAAAAGGCATTTTTAGTTTCACAAGAGATGCTGTGAGAAGATGGCGTTTTTGGCATAAAGAGTGCCTATTACATGATTGGTAACTTTCATGTTTGCACAGCAGCAGTAGCATCAGCAACAACAACAACAACAACAACAACAACAACAACAACAACAACAATAATAGCAATACAAATATGACAGTGTACCTTATGACGTATAGAGAAGCAGCTATGACGGAGTATAGAGGCTTGCGTAGTTCATCCCACGTGACCTGAGACCACGTGATCCCAAAAGCCTCTTCGAAGAGGTCGTCGTTGACAATCTTTAACGTCAAATGAAACGTGTCGTTATCGACCTGCATATGTAATGGATACAACATTGGCCCTTATTACGTAATGGTGGTCACTTCTGCCGTTGGTGTGGCATAATGTTATTGATATATCTGTCTTTTTCTACCCACACTAGGATATCTCGGACATCTATAAAACTGACTCACTGTTGATTATGTAAAAATTGCTTCATTAATAATCCCCTCCCCCCTCTCCTCCCAAATCCCACCTTTAAAAAAAGCAGAAGAAAATAATATTTTAAAAAGAAAGCAACCACCCCCTCACTCCCCCCGCTGAGAAAATGCAAGAAGAAGATACTTTATAACCAAGCCAACCTTTATTGTTTATACAATAGTTACGAATGTGCATTACAAACTCACATTATCAGTCAATATTTTTCACGTCACCCTGTAAAGGGAGTGCATGATTAAACTAAAGCATATTTCAAGTGTATCAGTGCGAAATCATTGTTAGGTCAATGTCATTTTTTTCATGTCGTTAATCAAGTTTTTCTCCAAGCACTGTTTCAGTTTGATGGCCATTTAAACCATTGCAACGTGTTTAGATGATGAAGATGACGATGACAAAAAACTGACCTTCCAGATCCCCCCATCATAACCCGGCCTGTACGTGCTGGGGTCAGTCCCGTCCTCCGTGAGCACATAAGCCAGACGTCTGAGGAACAGGTGGTCGTTCGGGAACACACATTTCTCCCGTAGCACGTGTACCGCCGCCTTCACCACATCGGCGCCACTGGTCCCTGGCTGTCGCGTCGTGTCGTTTTGCGCCAGGATCAAGCCCGGTAAGGTCAGTGCAGCAACGAGTGAGAGCAAGAAGAGGTGGTTCGCCATGATGAGCGTTCTGTGAAAAGGAAAATCGCAACAAGTGATATTTTCTTTTCTTTTCATACATTTGAAATTGTCATATGCTCGTACTTACACGGAACAACGTCAAGACGAGTAGCGCCAGCGACTTTGGTGTTACGGTTAGGTACTTAACAATGCTGTTTGAGGGCAGAGGGAGAAACTATGATAATTTTACTTGAATCGCCTATCATTGACAGCAGCGAAGGAGAAAGAAAGAAGACATTCACTTAATCTTTTGCTTATTTTTTAAGCAATTATTTTTGCAGAGTCGAAGCGACATGTCTTCTAAATGATCTCAACTGAGTTGGCGGGGGTATCAAACATCTGCAGTCATCACAATCAATAACACAGTTGAAGAACTCCCACACAGTTAGTACGTATTTTACATTTACAGATCCAATGTCACTACAACTTTCTTCATGCTGTCCGCTATCTAAACTGGGTCTATGATGATGTAGAACCTTTAAATTACTTACTTTTAGATGACTGAATAAAAGTCCTAATGATACAGGACGTTTTAGATGACTGAATAAAAGTCCTAATGATACAGGACGTTTTAGATGGCTGAATAAAAGTCCTAATGATACAGGACGTTTTAGATGGCTGAATAAAAGTCCTAATGATACAGGACGTTTTAGATGACTGAATAAAAGTCCTAATGATACAGGACGAGAATACCTGTACGTACGTAAGTTCAGGACAAAAACAAAAGGCGTGCGCTGGGAAGAAAGTGAGCCAGATGACTAACCTTATGAGCCGATCTCCACGTCGGCGGCTCTGTTCTGTATCAGACAATAAATTACAACGTGTTCTGGAAGGCGTTGCCGATGCTAGCGACCACAGAGCACACAGAGTTTCGCGTTGTGACAATTCTTCTTTACTCAGCAGTCAAATATAAGAGAATGTCAGAGGTGATCGCGGCGATAACAATACAGCAGACTTAACAACAAGGAGGATTGACCGAAGAGGCTGATGGAAATCTCCACCTGCATCTCTTCTTATTGGTTGTCTCAAGGTAAAGGTCAAGACCAGAAAGTCCTACATGACTTTGGCAGAAAAGCAGAAACAGATTTTTACTTTCATTTGGCTAGACCAGGGCTATTATCAGTTTTGAAGGAGCTTAAGGCACACTCTAAGACCCTTGTGTCTTTCAAGGGTAGAACGAGGCCTCAGGATTTTTCCTCGGGATTGTCTCATTTCATAGAATTCTCAAGATAGCAGTTTAAGAGGAATACCTTTTCTTCTCACGTAGGCCTACTTCCTGAAAGAAAAAATCTCCCCTCTCCTCCTTATACCCTTAATCTTCCTTTGCCTCCCCCTCCTCTTCCCTTCCTCCTCTTCATCCTCATCCTCTCCTCCTTTGTCCCCCTTCCTCTTCCTCCTTCTCCTCCTCCTCTTTCACCTTTCCGTTGTTGCTGTTGTTGTTGTTCTTTTTCTTTTTCTTCTTTTTCTCCTCTTCGTCCTCCTCCTTAGAATAACAATGAGGAAAAAAAAATCTACCATCAAATCTATAATCCAAAGTCCAAGGACAAGAGGACAAAAATTCACAGACAGACATGATATTTACACACTCTAACTGCTTCTCCAGACGCCAGTTACTAGCTGAAACACTGATTTCAGGAGTAACAGTTTCATTTGCTTGACAGGAAGAAGAAAGATAGTGGTACAGCGAGAGAAAGAGGGAAAGAGAAGAGAAGAGAAGAGGACAGAGAGATAGAGAAGGAAATAGATAGATAGATGAATGAATAGAGAGAGAAGGTGAGAGAGAGAGAGAAAGAGAGAGAGAGAGAGAGAGAGAGAGAGAGAGAGAGAGAGAGAGAGAGAGAAGGAGCGAGAGAGAGATAAAGAGAGGGAGGGGGTGGGTTGGTGGAATGAGGGATTGTATTAATTTTATTTTTATTTATATAGTAGAGGGTATTACGGCGCTCGCAACTGCATAAGGTCACATGAGCGCCATATTCATTTTAATAATAATAATAATAATGATAATAATAATAATAATAATAACCATAATCATAATCATAAAAATGAAAATAATAATAGTAATAATAATAATAATAATAATAATAATAATAATAATAATAATAATAATAATAATAATAATAATAATAATAATAATAATAATAATGATAATAAAAAATTAAAATTAAAAAAAATAAAATAATAATAAATGACTTTTATATAGCGCTCAACCCCGATTAAAGTACACAGGCTTTGCACTACAATACAATATAATGTACAACAGTAACATAAATCGTTGTGTTCTGAATAAAAGAAAATCACTACAAATATTCATCTTATTAATTTAAAAACAAAAATGACTTCAGCAGACAATTGAATGAATCAAAAGATTCGATTTCTCTTAAAGTACTTGGCAAAACATTCCAGTTTTTGGGGCCTTGATATTCAAATGCCCTTTCACCCATTGTTTCATAGATGGTAAAATAAATTTCTTTTTGTCAGCTAATGACCTCCAACTGCGAGTTGGAATGTACAGTCTTAACAGATTTGATAAATATGATGGCTCATTATCATTCAAGCATTTGTGACATAGGGTGGCCAACTTTATCTCTTAATTTTTTAAAAATTTCTCAAGTGGTAAAACTCTCTATAGCCGCCATTGTGTGAAAAAGTTAAATTTCATAGGACATTTTCTGCGACCCGTGACATAAAAACGGAGCCATCTGATCATATTTGTGGAGGAAAAGCAAATGAAGGATACATTCGATTCTTCTGACTTTAAACAGTTGTAATTGTGTTATGCCCTCATTAACAGATTTCAGCATACTTAGGCAGGGGATTGCTTCGATCCCGTCTGTCAGGGCCAATCTGAGTTGAAAGAGATGCAACATCCCGGCGAAAAAGTGTGACGTACAGGTTTTACGATACGAAAGTAAGTTATTTTTCCACGGGATTTGTTCAATTTCATTTCAGAGAATTCTCGAGATCCTAGCTTAAACCGGGTGCCCATTGCTGATGGGATCGGATCGGGTCGCTCGCCCAACTATGTCGCCTGCAAACGCGTTTGTTTTTGAGGCGACGAGTCGGGTGATCAGTTTGAGCCACGATAGCCGCTTTGAGCCCTCAATCTGGCTAGCAAATGGACCCGGCCCGACCCGATCATGCCTATGGGTGGGTACCCCGAATTAGGAGGAATTATATTTTCCATTAAACACTACCTGTACAAACGAACTCTTCTTCTTCTTCTTTTTCTTCTTCTTCTTCTTCTTCTTCTTCTTCTTCTTCTTCTTCTTCTTCTTCTTCAAGGGATCACTGAAGTAAAAGTTTCTTTAACGCCAATGGAGCCCGTTAGAAAAATCTTACGGTAAAATTAGAGCCGAATTTGCCGGCATTCTTTTTTTTTGGAAATAGTGAAGCAGCCGGGAATTATAAATTGGTACATTGGTAAGGCTTGTCTAGCTCACACACCATGATCATTACCTTCCTTATCCTGGATCACGTCAAAAGCCATTGACAAACACTTTCCACTTTTCTCTATCTTGGGTTAGCATCTTGACATTATTCCATGCCCTATACATTGTTCTGTACATCATTCTCTGTGACAGTTCCCCCAGGTTCCCAGGCATAGCCTTCCCCCTGATATGTTACCCCGTTGAATCCAATCCAACACTTTTTTTGGTTATGTGGCGCCGAACTTCCTGAAGACCTCACACATCAGCACAAGTTTTTTCAACGACCATGATACAGATAAAGCATGGTCTCTCTGCGTTGACACTCATGTGATATGAACAAGGATGTACCGATGTCCGTGTGTACGATCCTTATTTTATGTGTCACGACGCGGAGGAATCAGGCGCTCGTCAATTATTGGGCATGTGGGGTTATTGGTATCATCTTAAAGCTTGTTCAATTAATTATCTTGCTTTTAAGGCTACAAGTCTCCCATTTATATCGAATAGAAGTCGAGATATTTCTGATCAAACGAAGTGGGAGTCGCCTGGTTTCTGCTTCAAAATTAGCGATAAAATGACTGCCCAAATTTGATGACTTCCACAGCTTAGGAGTCCTTACAAACTGCAAATTTACATTTTTTCTGGTGCCCCCTAATCAACATTTTTGAGTAACATCCACAAGAAATGTGTTTTAAATGGACATTAGAAGATGAAGAGCCAAAAAAAAAAAATTGATAAAAATGGCCAAACTTGCGGGAAAATTCTGTTTTCTTACATTTCATAGTTTCAAAGAGCACAGGATTTCACTTCCTATGTATTATTCACACCACCACAAAAAGGCAACTGAGGATGGGATGGTGGTTGTTAGGGTCTGGTTGGTCTTTGTGGAATCGGTAGTCTAGTGGTACGGCTACCGGACTTACGATAAATGGGCCAGGGAAGATTCTAGTAGTCATTTAACAAGATTGGACCGGTTTTCCAAGTCAGCACCGATTAGAAATGTTCACACGAAGGCTATCACCAAAAAGACTTGTTTGCTTGAGGATTGAGGAAAAACAACACTCATCGGGACAGCAGCTATGATCATCAAGTACAGGCTGACAGGCTGACAGAAAAATCAGCATGAGTAAAGAAGGGGCATAAAACAGAGGAAGAGAGGGGAAAAGACTGATATGGACACACACACACACACACACACACACACACA